TGATTTATTTTGATTAGTGGTTAAATTTTATTTCATTATTAAACGTGTTGTTAATATATAAAATAAATAAATCTGCATCCGGAACCCTTTAAAACGAAAACCGTAATCAATCTTAGTCCTACATATTTGCATTTCGACTGGATTTTATACCACTTTGTCATCATTTTTGTACTGAATATAAAAAATTCTTAAATTTTGCACAACTTTTCTAAGTTTGTAGTATATACGTCTTCTTTTACACACAATTCAAAACGAAAATAATAATTTGTTAATAACCTTGTAATTTTTTGTAATCAATCACTCAAGCAATCGTTTCTATAAAGTCTTGATATGATATACAACAATCAAATTTGTGAAATTGATTGTCTGCAAGAAGTACTGTAGATATTTGAAATTTTATCATAATTTTAATATTTTTATCATTTGTTTGATTCAGTATATGTAGACATTTATAAGCACATTTTATTATTCGCTACGAAATCAGAGATTACGGAAGCTGCCACACGCTTTGAGCAATATTTTTTATCAAAACTCTAAATTTCAAAAACTAAAATGTGATTACACGAAAACCGCATTCTAAACGGTTGAAAAGGACAAAAAGAATTAAAATCTCAAAAATCATTTCATCATCGCACACCATAATAGCGCACAGTTACCACATATTGTAATTGTCAATAAATATTTATATATATATATAACCACATAAAAAACTATAATATTTTTTATTTTTAGTCAACATTGCATCCTTTGTATGCGGTGTGACATTTGGATGGACATCGCCTATGATTCCAAAACTAAATGGGCAACAAGACCCTGACTTCAACCCCGTTCAACCTCCAATCACACCCTCTGAAGAATCTTGGATCGGTTCTTTACTTCCCCTGGGGGCAGGGATTGGACCATTCGCTGCCGGATTCTTCCTTGACAAGATTGGACGGAAGAAGACGATCCTTGCGTCAAACGTACCATTCCTGGTAGCCTTCATAATGTTTGCAGTTTGTTCAGAAGTAAAATACTTCTTTATCGGACGGTTCCTTTGTGGTCTAGCAGTCGGTGGTACATTTACTGTACTGCCCATGTACGTAGCAGAAATATCAGACGACGCAGTCCGTGGGACGTTGGCATCGTTGTTCCAACTGTTCATAGTAACTGGTCTCCTATTTTCTTACGCTGTTGGACCTTACGTCCCCATAGCGACATTCAATTATATATGTGCCGTTTTACCCTGTATATTCATGGTCGTATTCTTCATTTTCATTCCGGAAAGTCCTTACCATCTGGTGGCCATCAAAGATGATAAAGCTGCGTCCAAAGCTTTGGCGAAATTCCGCGCAAAATCTGAAGATGACATTCAGAAGGAACTGTCCACTATCAAAGGTGCTGTTGAAGAAGCAATGGCGAACAATGGCAGCTTCTTCGACATCTTCAAGTCAAAAGGAGCTACCAAAGCTCTGATTATATCTCTAAGCCTTGTCGCCTTCCAGCAGTTCTCTGGTATCAACGTGATTCTGTTTTACAGTCAGACAATTTTCGCAGCAACTGGAAGCACTATTCCACCAGACCTTTCGAGCATCGTGATAGGTGCAACACAGATAGTTGCGAGCTTTATCACTCCAGCTGTTGTTGAAAAAAAGGGGAAAAGGTTTCTGCTCTTAATCTCAGGAATAGGTATGGGAATTGCGGAAGGCGTGTTGGGTTACTACTTCTATTTGAAAACGGCGGGTTCCAATGTTCAGCCCATTTTCTGGCTTCCCGTCGCATGTCTGATCGTTTTTATTTTGGCCTACTGTTCTGGTTTTGGACCTTTGCCATGGGCCGTGTGCGCCGAATTGTTCACTTCCGATGTCAAATCTTCAGCTTCGACAGCTACAGCGTCCATCTGCTGGCTCTTGGGCTTCGTACTTACCAAGTACTTCGCCGACGTGTCCAATGCCATTGGCATTTCAAACTCGTTTTATATTTTCGCTCTTTGCTGCTTCCTGGCGGCACTGTTCGTCTATAAACTGCTACCGGAAACGTCGGGGAAAAGTTTACAAGAAATACAAGACATATTGAACGGGATTAGGAGGGACAATAATAGCGAAAACACAAAACTGTAAGGACATAATACCACGAGTGAGTTTAAGGTGCCATATAACAATTACGTTAAATATTACGTGCAATATTATTATTATTATTTTTATTATAA